TCCAATTCCACTAAACATCATCAACATGATGATAATAAGCCCATTAAGCCGCTTAATCTGAAAGTTGCCAGTTCTTTATTGCAAGGAGCTTGCGATATCGTTTTGGTCATTACTTATAATGGTTTTGTGAGGTAGAGAATTAATGAGCAAAAGATAGATGCCAGAAGATCTAATTTGGAAGCGGTTATATACTTCCTCCGTTCTTTTTTTAGTTGCAACGTTCAACATTTCACACGTGTCAACGCACGTCTTTGAGCGTAATTATATCTTAATCTCTATTAGTAAAAAATAATTAAAAATCATATTTTGAAAATTTGTAATGAGATGAATTAAACTATATTCTTTTCAAAAAATAATTTCTGTAAAATAATACCATAAAATGTAGTCAAAGTACAAAATGTGAATAGTGTGAAATTAATCATGTTGCGATTAAAAAAAACGGAGGATAATATATACGTTGGGAGTTTGCAATTTATGTATATGGATTCTCATGTTTATCTCGATCAGGATCACAATGTAATTAATGAGTAGTTGTAATTTAATTTAAAGGTGTTTCATCTCAGCTAAAGTTTTGCTATTTTAACTATATTGTTCTTATTTGTTGTTGAATTATTATGAAAGCATGCTTCCTCCATTCAAATAAATGTGTAAATAAATACGAAGTACTGGGTATTTATTTATTTAAAAATAATATGCCAAAAAATACGAGAATTAATAGCTATATATTGAGCAATAAATAGCTTATATCTTGGGAGGGAGGGTCTTAAAATTGAGACGATCCTTGACGTATGAATGTTGTCACGGACTCACGGGTATCATGGTCAAGATCAGCAATGTGTTGGTTTCTTTTTTAGATGAATATGATATTTGAGACAACAGTTTTAAATTGATCACATTGGGCATTATTTATTATAATGAATCTTATATTAGACATTATTATGGTTTGATCGAAATAGACTAAATATGTACGAATTTTATGTTTCTTTGTCACTTTTGAAAACTCACTCAAGGTTTTTCATATTCGGCCAATGAAAGTCATTAGTATTCATTTTCCTTTGCTTTTTGTACCTGAAAATAATAATAACTTAACTAGTGTATTTAGTTTTATAATATATGATTAGATGTTCCAATAATAAAATCTATTTTAATGTAATTGAATTCGTTTACTTCATTAAATTAATTTAACAAATCGATATTTTTCAAAGTTTCATAAAAACGTGTGAAATGGGAAGTCCAAATTATATTTTTAACTTCGTAAATATGAGATGTTTTTAATTAGAATCAAATTACATATTCTAAAATCTCAAATGAAATATTTTCAAACTCAATATATCAATTAAGTTAGCTTATTGATTCAGTAACCGTAATTCTACTTTGTTTAATTAGTTCAACAAACTATAATTAAACAAAAGCCAAGGCTTTATAATTTGTTGAACTAAATCAAAACTAAAGAAAAAACAAAAGACTGGCATATTCTTTATCATTAGAATAAAGTGGCTTTCCGATGATCTAAGTTGGGATGTTGATATCAGCCTAGCATTTCAGCAATATAAGCGGGACGAGTACAAACTTGAGCATACATTAGGGTTCATTCTATAGAAGCATGAGGTATCATACTCATTTGTTCCTTTTCTACTTCTGTTTTCGGGCATTGAAACGAACCAAAAATGTCCCCTTTAACTACGGGAGCAACTGAAGGTAGTGCTGGACTCGGGCCGGGTGGCCCGACCCGGAACCGGCCCTGGACCGGTACTGCGCTGAACCGGCCCGGCCCGGTGGCCCGGCCAGTGACCGGTCCAGGTAGGCCCGGCCCGGGGGGTTCCCGGTGTGGGCTCGGGTCACCCAAAAGCCGAACCGGCCCGGCCGGTTCGGGCCCGGTTCCGGGCTTTTTAATTTTTTTTTTTAATTTTTTTTAACTTTTCGGGTTGGGCTGAGTATTTTGGGCCATTTGGGGTGGTTTGGGAGGTTGGGGGTGGGGGGGTTAATTAGGAAAAGGGAAAAAAATGACCTGAGGCCTGGCCCGGACCCGGTGGCTACCCTGGCCGGGCCTGGGCCACCTATTCAAAACCGGTGGTCCGCCCGCGCCTAGGCCCGGTCCGAGTCCGGGACTAACTAAAGGAGAGCAATGTTACATGTTATAATGTGCTAGAATACGTCCAATGTAAGCCTTTTGAGATAGTCCTAATTAGTCATGGACTCGGCCGGGCCCGGGCTTTTTTTTTTTGGGAAGGCCCGGGACCGGCCCGGGTAGCCACCGGGTCTGGTCCGGGTCTGGGCCGAACCTCCGGTTTGGTCATTTTTTTTGCTTTCCTAAATCCCCCCCCACCCCACCCACCCCCCCTCCACCCCCCAAACCCCTCCTAACCATCAAGCCCAACCCGGGTGGAACCCCAAAAATGAAAAAAAAAAAAAAAAAAAAAAAAAAAAAAAAAAAAAGAAATAATCAATTTGGCCTGGACCCAGGCCCGACCCGGCCGGGCCGGTTCGCCAAATACAAGGCCCGAGCCCGGCCCCGCCCCCCCATCGGGCCTAGGCCCAACCCGAACCCGAGAACCGGGCCGGTTCCGGGCCCGCACAGTAGCGGGCCGGGCGGGCCGAACCGTGTCCATGACTAGTCCTTATATTTCATTGGCTCGCTCATGATGTATTTTGATGCCAATTACATCCAAAATCTTTTATGTTAAAATGACGTGAAAGTAATCGCTTTGTTTCATGCAACAAATTCATATTATTACTGGCCAAGAGGATATCATCAAGTCATCAACACAAAGGACGAGTATGGCAAAATATGTCATCAACGTGCAATTAGGTTCAATCCCACAGTGGACTTTTCTGAATATTAAAAAAAACATATTTTCACATAATAATTAATTTAAAACGAATAAAATAAAAAGGTTTGAAACAATAAAATAATGCATTTACAAGCAAAAACTCTACTATTTGGAGCCTCTCCATGTATGAAGGAATAGAATTGAAGTCTAACACAACAAATGCGACAACCTATGCCGTCCATTCAACACCCGAACAACTTGGCTCTTATATGCATCCTTAATTTTGTATTTCTCTTCCCTTATAAATAAACAAAATAGCATATATACATATACACTTCCATCAATAAAGAAAACACCATATTCATCTTTTCTCCCCCAGCTCTTGCCATTTTAAATAAGTATATATATGTGAAGGAAAGGTTTGAGAAATGGGATTTGTTCACAAACCTTCATCATACATAGTGGCTTCCACCTTATTATTCATAGCTACTTTTTTCACATTTGCATGTACAAATGTGACAGCGGATTTGGTAGGAAGAATATGTGTCAAGGCACGAAGACCTGACACATGCACACGTGCATTGAGGTCTGATCCTCGAACCAAAACCGCCGACATGAAAGAACTCGCCACCATCGCAATCGAAGTGTCAATGAAACATGCGAAAACATCGCATGCCCTCGTGGAATCCCTTCTCAAGGGAGCGAAGAATCCCGAGTCCAAATCAAGATATTCATCGTGTTTGGATAACTACGAGGATTCTGTCGAAGCCCTAGGGAGATGCCTCGATTTCTTAAAAGTTAAGGACTATGGGAGCTTGGATTCATATGCGTCTGCTGCTTTGGATTTCCCAGAAACATGTGACCAGGATTTTGAGGACGCGGCAGCTCGTGAATCAGGGAAACTGAAAGCTGCGAGTACAAAGCTCCAAGATCTTTGTGATGTTGTATTGATTGTTAGCAGCAAATTAAGTGGACGGGTGTTGGAATGATCATGAATATGTATGTATGAATGCACTAATTCATTCATGTGGGCTGCTATCGTGTTCTTCGATCATTGATGAGTACCAATTCCTAATTTAATTTGGAGTGGCTATGAAATGGGGGTTTAAAAAAAAATAATAAGGTGTTGAATTGATTTATTCATTTTTCTTGAGATCGCACATGGTATACACACACACATATACTCCTTCCGTCCCCTTTTAAATGTCCCGTTTTACCATATTGGGATGTCCCTATTTAATTGCCCCATACCTTATTTGGTAAACTTTGTGTGGCTCAAAATCATTCTTACTTTATTCTTACTTTATCAATTAATATCAACCACACAAACTCACTTTTCTTAAAACCCGTGCCACCATCTCCCGTCCCATTTAAAAGGGGACGGAGGGAGTACATACTATGATACTAACATACATGCACGCACATCATCCAAATAGAACAAGTTTTTTTCCCTGAAAATTAAATTAGAATGAAAAGTAGAATGCAATCAAACCATTCTTTCTTTTGCAATCAAACCATTCATATTGAAAAAGTTTTGGTTAAATGATATTAAAATTCATGGCACTCGATTGATCATTTTTTTATAATTTGATGCTAAAACTAAAGGGGAGACCACCATTATCATGGGAAGAAATTTAGTCTCCTCATATTCACAAGAATGTGTGTGTGTGTGTTTAGTACCTCTCAATTTAATTAGTTTGTTACGTACTACCTAGTACTCCCTCCGTCCCTGAATTATATTCAAAATTTCAAACTTTCCTTTTTCATCCGTCCCAAAATTATCTTCCCTTTCCCTTTTTGGCAAAGAATTTGTGGTTCACAACCATTCTTACACATTCTTATACATTTCTCTCTCCTCTGCACAACTCTCCACCACACAAAACCCATTTTCTTAAATAATGTGCTTAGCCGAAATGGGAGAAAGATTAGGGACGGAGGGAGTAGTATATATAGACATGTTATTTATTAGTCATTACGACGTAGTTCTAGGTTCTCCGGTTGTGTAGAATTGTTAATATGAAAAATTAACAATAAACTACATTCTTTTTTTTCGTAAAAAATAAAGTACATTCTTTAAACCTCATTAATCATTTTAAGAAAAAATATGACTAGACCTAAGTAATTTTAGTACATAGTATTATTCTAATTTATTACTACGTACTAAACTAAATTTTCACATTAAATTTGGTTTGGCTCCTATTTGTCAATCAAAATTTCAAAATGGACATTCTTCATATTTGAAATATGTGTTTTGCCCTCTGTATTTCAAGTTGGTGCCAGCGACATTATAATGAATAGTTTCTCGTGCAAATTAATTGAATTAATTCAGATCACTACATATTCATCAAATAATCAGTAAACATACATTTCATATGGATACAGAATCGCTAATGCAGATATCTCACTTTAGTGCATAATATCAGTGAAAACAAACACTCAACGAAAATCAACCTCGGCACAAGTTCGAGACCTGAAATAAAGACCGAAATAAAGAAAACCTGACATGAGGAAGAAGTTTGTTTGCATACTTAGTGAAAAAGTATGCAAAATAGATACTGGAGTTCAAGCTAGAGGTGCAGGTTTGTAGTCTATGACAAGGACCTTCTCCAGCTGAGGAAGAAGTTTGTTTGCATACTCAACATGAAGGGGATGGGCAATGTACTCTGCAATTCCTTCTGTGCTATCGAATGTCGATTCGAACACATGAGTGAAACCTTGGTTAAGCTTCTCTATGCTCACATCTTTACCCCTGATGATTTTTATTCATCAGGTCAGGTACATAAAGTAATCACAAAATGATGAATAAACCTTTCCAACAGGCTTTAGGGCTCTGTTTGGCAACATTGTCAGCCAAACAAACTTTCACAAACAGAACCTAAGGCTCCGTTTTGTAGCATTATTCTGCATAGTGCAGAATAAGTAGCTTTTGACTCACTTATTTGGCTAAATGCATGTTACCAAACAGGTTTTCGTTTAAGAAAACATCTGAAGATTCAGCTATATCAGCCAAACAAAACCTTCAGATACAAAATTTAGGGCTCTGTCTGGTAGCATTATCTGGCTTATTCCAAATTAAGTAGTTTTTTACTTACTTATTTTACTGAAATGGATTTTGTTCGATTATATAAGCCAGATTACTATTCCCAAATGAGTGTTCTGCTGACAACAAATAAGTCTACTAAATAAGAAATCAAAACTAGCCAGATTAACATCCAACAAATCATGTATGAGATGAATTAGAAAAACTATTAGAAATCAAAATTGGGTATACTTCGCCCTTCTAAGAAGATGGACGCTTCAATTTCCAAAATAAGTACATGAAAGATTTCAAATATTCAGCTTTAAGAACGAAAATATAAAAGGAAAATCAGAAAGAAAAAACGGCATCTTCTCGATTCATTTCCCTAAGGAACAAAATTGAAGTGTTCTAAAAACGAAACAGAGGAAACAAAAAGAGATTGGAAAATACCAGGTGAAAGACTTCATGGGTTGGATGAGGTGAACGAGATCGGCATAACCTTTGATGAGATGATCGATCTGTTCCTGAGAGATCCCATCTTTGAACTTGCCCAGTAATATGTGCTTCACTTCTCCTCTCGATGATGCACCACTCTCCTCCGCCATCTTACTTCTCTCTCCGGCCTTACAATAAGCGTTTGCCAGTTAAAACTGCATCTCGGAACAGTTGAAGTGGTGAAGTGGTTGGGTGAAAGTGGGATTATGGTGCTCCAATTTACTCCTAGAATCAATTTTTTCAGAAATTAGGGAAAATTGACTTCAAAAAACTGATTCTGATTTTGCTTTTGCTTTAAAAAGAATTAGTTCCAAATGCCCCTCAAAACATGTGGTTTAGACTTGTTAATGGGTTTGTACAAATTTTAACCATTGGTTATGAGTTGATTGAAAACTATTTTTGTAAAAACATAATTAAATTCTTTTCATTTTAAATTTTCAAATGTAAATTGTGTTCATTTTTTATAATTAGATAATTAAATTAAATATAATAATGTCAATGTTGTATATTCATAAAGTAAAAATAGAAGTGTCGTAATTAAAAAAAATCAAAATAACTTTGAAAAATACAAACTATCATCTATAAATCAATAATAATACATATTTTGAAAATGATTTCTAATATTATCAACTATTTAAATGTAGAACAAAAATAATATAGAGTCACTTTTCTATCAGATATCCAATCATTTAATACATCAAAAATGAATATCCAACCATCAAATAAATGGTATTTGGATGTAGAATCACTTATTTGATACTCTGTATTTAGATATTAGTTTTCGGTGAGTTAAATGACCGAATTCTTAGTGAAAATTTGCTCTATATCGTTTTTTTATATATGCAAGTTTGTGGTATTTATCTCACACCCTTTCAATGTTTGGGGTACTTCTATTACTTTTTCCTTTATTGTCCAAATTGAACTTTGCACTCCGTTTTTAAAAAACTCTGTTTTTGCGCTACAGCCCGGTATGAAAAAACAAAAATGTCCCTCCAATACCAATTCGGTTTGTCTTGAATTTGTGATGGAGGGACAAATGAGTTATGGGAAGCTTGAATTTCTGACTTTAACTTTATTACACATCCCACATCTTAATATTTTTGGTCTTTTTATATCTCGTTAGACACATTATTTTTTTATCTTGTTAGACACATGATAAAGTAAAATTCGATAGCAATGGCACAATGAGTATTTTTATTATTCTGGATATCTCAGCTAAATATTTTCATTTATACGTTTAAACTTTAAAATGATTACAAACAATTATATATTTATGATTAAAGTAAAGATTGTTTATAAAAATGTGACTAATAACTTTTATTAAAAATATCCAAAACTTTATATAAAAAGTTATTTTTACACCATCGTTGTGTATTATTTCTTTCAAAAATGTAAATTTATTAGATTAATTGCACAATTTAAAATAGCAAATTAAAAGTGTTGCAATTATATAGATTGTGGGTAACATAATTTATTTCGCAATGGAAGTTTAGAACGTTGATTGTGTTTTCATGAATTCTAAAATATTTTAAATTATACAATTAACAACATAATTTTACATTTTTGAAAAAAAATAATACTTGACTATGGTGCTAAAATAACTTTTTATACAATGTTTGTGGTATTTAAATTACATATTGAAGTTTTGGGTGCTCATCTCACATCCTTCAAAGTTTAGGGTATTTTAATTATTTTTTCCGACAATAAAATGGAGCGCAAGCTCAAATTACTCTTTTTATTTTCTTCAGTTTTCTTTTATCGAATTTTTTAATTTTGTAGAAAAACGTAAAATATTCATGTTAGTTTTTGCAAAAAGATCAACATGATTGATAGGTTACAAATATCGAATTTTTTAATTTTGTAGAAAAACGTAAAATATTCATGTTAGTTTTTGCAAAAAGATCAACATGATTGATAGGTTACAAATAACAACTGTGCAGTGTAGTTTAACCTTCATTATTCTCATTTAGAAATAATGGTTTTTAAATTAGAAGTTGAAGGGCCAAACTGCACTGCACAGCTATTATTGTAACAATCCCCGATTTTTCCCACATAACTTGATGTTGAAAATAACGTTTCCAAGTGACATTAAAAAACTTTTGATACCGTAAAAGCTGCCGGTGTGGGTAATACATTTAAGAGCAAAAGAAAAAGTGAAGATGGATTTCGTCGAATGACCAATTAAAAACTATTAGAAATATATGGAAGTTAATTAAAGTATCCAATTAGAGTCTTAATTACCCAAATGTGAGTCATTAAACCATGTCACCCAAGCAAATATCAGTTTTATTTTACGATCATCAATTCATCATAAGTTTTGCCATCTTGTATTCCAATCGCTGGGTTTCCAACGTATAGCTGGGTGCAAAATGGGTAAATAATATGTCATGATCTAAGATGAAATATTTTTGCAAATAAAACACAAATTCATTCCGCATGCACACATTCTATTTGATTGATACTGTGGCTTTTGGCAATTTCTGCAGGCTTCAAAATTTTAATTCTTAAAATTGCATATATCGTTTCATAATCCAAGGCAATTTCTGCAGGCTTCAAAATTTTGTCTATCGTTACCTACTTACATCCAGTGGCGGATCCAGGAACAAAAGTTGTTGGGGGCAAAAGTTGTTAAGAAATACTGCTATAAAATTAATCACAATTATTGCTTGTGTTAACAAAATACATCCAAGTTGTTCCTATAAATTTTCTTCTTTTGTATAAGATCCATAACCATTACGAGTATATTTTTAACAATTTCAAACATATCCATTTCAATAAAAAAAAATCAATCACTTAAAAGGTATCATCAATTCTATCACACAATAGTCTCCATTATTTTCATAGAGATGAAGCAACTCTCTACGTTTCTCGTGACAACGGACAAAATCAATGCTAATTTTGATTGAAAATTGCTATAGAGATACTACTATTTGAACTACCCAATGTTAATGAAAGATTGGTAACTAAGTATCTCTTCATTAAGTCTCTAAAAATGCAATAAATGCAATTAATACAAGTATTAAGTTAGTTATACATTAATACTCCTCCGTCCCTAAAAGAACTTTCAACTTTCCCTCTTCGTCCGTCCCAAAAAGAAATTCATTTTCTCTTTTTGGCAAAGAATTTATGGTTCACAGCATTTCTCTCTTCTCTGCACAACTCTCCACCACACAATTCTCATTTTCTTAATCAGTGTGCCACTTTATTTTGGAAGAACATTTAGGGACAAAGGTAGTACATTTTATTTACCAATCTAAAATAACACATTATTTAGAACTTTTAATTGATAACTTCCTTAGCAAGTCATCAATTAAAATTAGATAAATTAGATGTAAGACTTTTTTCACTAATCACTAATATTTTAAAATAAACAATAAACGTGCAGTTATGGAATGGCCGAATCTTTATATTTTCAAAAACACAACATTTTCTGGTAAAAAGAAAACATAACATTAAATGCTTACAAACAAAAAATAAGTAATCCCAATGTATTGAATTTCGCTACAGATTTATAATTCCACTAACAAATTAGTTATAACCGGGCCATTCGTTAATAGTACGTATCCCAAGCCTCGTCGGAGTCAGCTAATATTAAAACAATCTGAACTTTCAGTTAGAAGGCACGTTATAGGGGGCAACACTTATTTTTTATTGGGGATTTGGGGGCAATACTTGGACTTTTTAAATTTTCTAAGTACATTATATGGATTAGTGAGATTTTGTTGGGGGCAGCTGCCCCCCCTTTCTTCCTCAATAGATCCGCCCCTGCTTACATCCACAAAGATCTAATAATATCAAACCTATTTGCCTTCCCAAGACTTGCCTCAATTTCCCAAATTAATCGGTTTGAATGCCTAAAGCTATATGCATTTAATGTTATCTTAAGTATAAAAGCGTTCGATCATCGAACTTCGATGTGGAAAAAGTAATAGGAAGAAGTTTAAGAGCCCGTTTGGTAGCACGCAAATCGGCTGTTTTGTCTGTTTTTGCTGAAATTTCTGAAGTTCTGGCTGAAGTGGCTGCATTGGCTGATTCTGCTGATTTAAGAAACAATTATTTTTAAAATATATTTTATTAATAAAACAAACAAAAAATAATAGCTAAAATGGTCATCTACAGTAACTTCAGCCAAAACAGCCAGAAAAGTAACTTCAACCTTACTTTTTCTGCTTATTACACAGCTTAGCGCGCGAAAGTAAAAATTACGTATTTGGTGAAAAAGTTGGCTGATAAGCCTGATATGCCAAAAAACAGTGCTGCCAAACGGCCTCTAAAAGATCAATACAATATATTCCATAGGAATCTTAGATACCTGTGATATAAATTATTTTAGGACAACATAATTGACTAGAACGATGATGAGCCTGAGATGAAGGGAATAGTCTCCTATGATTAAGCCATTATTATTCTTTATCCATTCAAATGAGTTTTTAAGCTAAAGGATCAACCCTCGAACTAACTTAAAAAGTGCAATTCACCCCTTATATATAGGAGGCTCTGTCCGGCCGTCGCCAATTGGGGGTGGTTTCCGGTGGAATTTTTTGATGAATTTTTTTTAGCATCTTCTTCATTAAGTCTAGTTTACACATATCAAATTTCAGATAAAACTTCAACCGGGAAGACAGTCAAATGATTTTATGAAATGTACTGCGCTGTTTAACTGCGCTGTTATCTTCAAAAATTCATTTGACTGTCTTCCCGGTTGATTTTTTATCTGAAATTTGGTATGAGTAAACTAGACTTAATGAAGAAGATGCTCAAAAAAACAAGAAGATGCTAAAAAAAATCATCACAAAATTCCACCGGGAACCGCCTCAATTGACGATGGCGGGACAGAGCCTCCTATATAAATTAGGGGATGAATTGCACTTTTTAAGTTAGTTCGATAGACTATTTGACCCTTTAGCCAGTTTTTTATGTTCATTTCCTCATAGGATTGAATTTCTTTTGAAAGAAAAACACCAAATTATATTAATTTATCCAATATCCGCCAACTATTTTCTAATAGATTTCATCTAGTCTAGACTTAATAAAAGCCCTACGATGAGAATCTGAGGAGGTCGCCTCAAAGAAGCAACATAAATCGTTGATCAACATAAGGGCGCCATAGAATTCTTTCTGACCCTTAAGGGGTCACAATACTCTTTCCAATTCAACAAATTCAAAATAGCTAACCAAGCATTCCAGCCCA